GATAAAAACCTTTAGATAAACCAAACATTACGCCGCATATCTGACTCTATAACCATTAAAACAACTTTTTTCATTCATCTCAGATAGAATAATTCTCATACTTTTATTATATTTAACTGAACTTTCAACATTCACCACTGTTCAGCAACACGTACGTTATTCCTCTGATCACGAAGCAGCCGGCTTGCTATGTCTCGCAATGAATCCTGGGATATCCAAGGATAGAGAGGATACATCGGACCCGTCCTTCAAATCTTCTCATTTAACCCCAGTTGTAGCCCCTACCTCTGCTTCCTAGATCCTAACTCTGCTTCCTAGCTCCAGTTCCTAGCTCCTATCCCTTCAGCATTAGTTGTGATCAAGACTAAGAACACTATCCATGGCTGGAAAGGAGCTTTGGATTAATGTGCTGAATCTAGACAACCTTCAGCCTTAGCGATGTCAGTACACAACGGACATGCACATAGATGAGGGGGGGTCATTGGTTGTTCCGAGAGAAAAAACGAAGAAAAAACAAGATTTACATAAATTAAGTGAACAGCTGAAGTTCTCCCTTATAAAACACCAAACACATGAAGCAGAGGATGTAGCATGTGTCACACAGAGTGCAGGGAAGAAATAATGTCCCTGTAGATTGTAGTAGTGCTGTGGGCTGGGCTTATAAGTCAAGTCACACAATGGATTGTGGGATTCCTTATAGCTTATTAGCACCTGTAAGGAGGGTGCATACTCCCTGCGCTAAAGGAACTATGATAGGAAGCATATAGGCTCCTTTTTACTACTCAGACAAGGCGCTGGTCTGGGGACTTCCTGCAAAGGGTTTAGATGTTTTACCTCTGCATGTGAGATTTTCTCTGAGTACTCCAGCTTGCTCCTGTTGACCACAAACATAACTGTTTAGGTTTATTGGTCTCTTTAATTTAGTTAGTGTTTGTGGTACATGTTTTTACTGTTTGTCTCTGTGGATCCTGTAATGGACCACTGACCTGTCCAGGCAGCAACCCACCTCTCCTGAGGGGAGTAGAAACTCAGTTCATGCTGCTTTATTTTACATTAATTTATTGTATTAATTGATTATTAACATTTTGAAACATTAGTTTTCTTCTTCTGAGAATTAAAATGTTGTTGAAGGAATTCGAATTTAAAAGGAGCCCTTGGGCATTATTATTTTAGGTTTCCGCTTTTCTTTGTTAACTTTGCAAATCAGAAGTTTGGTTTAACATAAAATTATTCACATTAATAACTTTATTTCCATCTTGATTGTTGGCTAATTCGATAATAATTTTCATTCATTCTTACATCCATTCATTCTGTCATTCAGCCTCAGTATTTTAATCAGGCAGACATGATGAAAAGCCAACCAGAATGACATCACTTCCGGTAAACGGAGGCACGCCCCCTTCAGCATCCAGTTCCTACCGCGCTGCATTGTGGGAAACATAGTTCGCCTGTTGGTTGGGAAAGATGGCAAGCGTGCAGCCGCCTCCCCTCCGCAGCCTGGATGATTTTCTGCTGAGCTCGGCTCGCTTTGCGGTGCCAGATGTGCGGGAGCTGGAGCGGTGGAACAACCGCGTGATTAACAACCTGCTGTACTATCAGAGCAATTACTTCCTGTGCGCGCTGGGCTTCCTGCTGGTTGTGGGGTGAGTTTCCTCCCTCTGATCCCCCTTTTCTTCCAGGGAACTTTTCTCTCTGAACGCTGCTCCATGTTGGCTCCTCCGCTGCTGCAGATCAGGGCCTCACCGGCTCCCATCACAGCTGTAGATGGTTCCTTCTCACCATCATCTGTACGGGAATGAAAAGAAGCTGGCTGAGGTCCATCCTTACATTTGACCAACAGGGGGCGCTGTCTGTGAAACAGAAATCCTCTTAAACAATCCAACTGTTTACTCAATTTATTTGTGGGTTATTTGGGAGATGCTCTGATACTTGATGTGAAACCAACATTTTAAATCTCTGTAAAAGTCTAAAAAACGACCCATTTCAGGGCACTAAACTCTTCCTTTATATTTTAAACAAGGGTCACCAATTAAAAATCAGCAGGGTCCGAATAAAGAAAATCATCAACCTACAGAAGAGGATTAGGGCCACT